GGGGGGGGGTTAAAATAAAGATGACCCTTGGGCTGGCCTAACCCAAGGGAAAAAGAGGCTAGGTGGCAAATGGTAAAACCAATGTTGGGCCTTGCTGGAGGAGTTTTATTCAAGGCGAACTGTCAAGGGGTTCCCATTATAACTCAACCGTGTAAGGAACACAAAATCCGGGAACATAACACCGATATGACGGAAACTAGGGCGGCAAGAGTGGAACAAAACACCAGGCATAAGGCCGAGCCTTCCACCCTTTACCAAGTATATAGATGCATTAATATAAATAAGAGATATTATGATATCCCAACCAAATATCCATGTTCCAAACATGGAACAAGCTCCAATCTTCACCTGCAACTAACAACGCTATAAGAGGGGCTGAGAAAAGTGGTAACATAGCCAAACAACGGTTTGCTAGGACAAGGTGGTTAGAGGCTTGGCTTAACAATATGGGAAGCATGATAAGCAAGTGGTAGGTATCGCAGCATTGGCATAGCAAAAGAGCGAGCAACTAGCAAGCAAAGATAGAAGTGATTTCGAGGGTGTGGTCATCTTGCCTGAAATCCCGCAAGGAAGAAGAACGAGTCCACGAAGAAGACAAACGGACATAGTCGAACGGGTCCTCACAAACGCGACGTTATTGGAACCAACCCGAAGAAGCAACACCGGAAAGAAGCACACAATATAGTAAACAACCAACACATAAACAAGGCATGATATGCGGGATGCGATATGTGATGCATATGGATGATTTGGAAAGGAATGATTGAACCTGGCGTCAACTTGGAAATCCAAGAGTTCCACTGGAAAAGTGAGGTGATTTCGGTCGAAATCGATATAAAGATCACCGGAATCGGATGCACGGTTTGAAAATGGCAAGCAAAACAAATATGACACCGGTCTGCGATAATCAGCACGAGACCATCTAAATGCATCAAGAACAACATGCTACAGCACTCCAACATGACAACAAAATACATGGAAGGGATCCACTCATGATGCTTGACAAAAGATGAACACTGAGCTACGGCTAATTCACTCAATAGCAAGCTCAAACAAGCATGGCAAAAATGCAAAAGATAACAGGTTTCAGACTTAGTGAAATTAACAGCATATCAGGAATTTATCATCAGGAAGCAATGTTTAGAGCACGATAACTACATGCTACATGAACTTATCATGGCAACGCAAGGCATGGAATGAAGCTACTCAAAACATATAACAAAATTTCCTTAGTAACCATGAGCCAAAAGGGATCAGAAAATACAATTGCAAGCGTGTGACATAGCAAAAACATAAACAGATTCAGACTTGGTGAAAAACTGGAGCATGGCAAAACAGTTAACAAGTAGGCATGTTTACGAGCTCGATGCACTCACCACAAAGCATTGCATGACAAACTAAGCATACACCCATCAAGTAGACATGGCATAGAAGTTAGACATGGCAAGAACAACATCATAGCATGCACAGATCAATAGCAACAAGCTCGGCAAAATCGCTACACATGTGAACAATCTGCCAGGAACATTTTATAGCAAAAGTAGAACTCTATTGACTCAAGCTAGGGTGCTCCATAATTTCAAACAAATACATGGATGGATAGAGCACCACAATATCTACAAAACATCCTTACTGATCATGCTCAAAAGAGACACGGATCACAAGGAAACAACATGAACATATGGCATAAAAACAATAACAGGACAAGGACTTTTCGGTCCCTCGGTTAACCGTTGGAGTATCAAACGAAGTCCAAATGGCACGAAACTTGACAGGGGGTCTACCGGTAGTAAACCAAGGCCGCATGACAAGTCTTGGTCCAATCCGAAAACATTTAACACCCACACATGAAAAAGGTAGAAAGGGACACCGGGTGACATAGGAGCGCCGGATTGCAAAACGGACAACGGTGAAAATGCTCGGATGCATGAGACGAACATGAATGCAAATGCGATGCACATGGTGACATGATATAAGATGCATGACACGCAAGCAATGACAAGGCAACAACAGCGAATAACTGGAAGACACCTGGCGCATCGGTCTCGGGCGTTACACTAGGCTCTCACATGGACCTCCTACCATGTGCGCCTCCTCCTTCATGGCGCCAAAAGAGGCCGCCAGCATCCCGGAGCTCGCCGGTCTTCCCCGCATCTCCATGCCACCACGTCGGAGCACCTCACCACCGGCGACCAACCCCACTACTACCTTCATCTCATTCCTCTCTCCCTCGTTTTTCTTTTTCTCTCTTTTCCTCTGGTTTGACTCACCCTCCCATGTCCTTACCCGTGCAGGTCGTTGCCATGGACGACCAGGAGCTCGCTGCCTTTGCTGCGAAGAGGAGCCCCATGCCGCTGCCTTGCTCGGCCATGGATCCGGGCCCTCTGCAGCAGTCGTCGCTGGATCTGGTCTGCCGGTGCCCTTTCGCACCTCCGGCGACCCCTGCCGTCATTGGATCGAACAATTGCTGCCATTAACAGCATGCACGGGATCGAGAATTTTTTTGTTCCCGCGCTACTACTAACAGACGTAGTAGTAGCGCGGGTGCACCCATGCTACTACTACAAGTTAGCTGTAGCGCCGTAGTAGTGGCGCGGGCACCCACGCTACTACTAGGATTTTCCCTAGTAGTGAGGGTTTATCCTCCCCCGTGTGCGGCGGCGCGATTTGTTGTCACACGTTTTAGATCTATTTAAGGCTTCAATGTTGAAACTGCCTCTAGGACAATGGTCCTTCCAGGCACGTGCACAAAGGTTTCCTAGCTGTCATCAACAAGGTCAAGCTGGCTTTGATAGGGGAGCGGCAATAAAGCCACGTTAGCGACTTGTTCTGACTACGATAGTGGTTGTTCGATGATGCATGGTCCTTGATGTAATTATTATTATATTTGAGGTGGTTTGTACTTGTTATTAATAGATCTCGGTTCTTTCCGCCAAAATAAAAATAAAAATAAAAATAAGGTAGAGATAATTAAGATGACGCCCTCACATTACGGTGTTCAAAATGTTGCATATGCAATGCATAGCAACCCAAGAATAGAAGATAGGAGACTCTAAACACCGGAGCGAGAGGCGTGCACGGGCCGAGCACGCTCCCTGAATCACCTTCACTCATGGGCATGGCGACAAGGTACCGAAGCATGCGCGAGTTGCGCTCTCCTCTATCGTCGCTTCACCACTCCCTAATTATACACCACTCTCTTGCAGACACGCCCGGCCGAGCTATATATTCCTCCCGGTTCCTCATCACCTGGATCGAGCAATGTCCCTGATGGAGCTCACCGTCCTACCTTCATACACCTAGAAATCAAGGCCATCACGAGGTAGGAGGAGGGGAGCTCGATCGATCCTAACGGCGAATAATAATCTACTACGGTAATAAAGGAACCATGGAGGGGTTCCAGTGGAGCAGGCCCGTCTCCTTGCTCCTGTATGCCGTCTTCTTCCTGGCGGCGGCGGCCGTGTCGGAGGCCAACATCGGCGAGTTCGACGAGTACTGGCAGCGGCGCCAGCTGGAGGCCAGAGCCCGCGCGGAGGCCGCCTACCATCCCAACCCCATCGAGGTCGCCAACAGCCTGAACCGCGCCGTCCACAGAGCCGTTCGGGAGGAGAGCGGGTCGAGGAGGAAGTTGCTGGGACTGCACAAGAAGTTCGCTGGGCCGTGCACGGCGACGAACCCGATCGACCGGTGCTGGCGGTGCCGCGACGACTGGGCGACGGACCGGATGCGTCTGGCGCGGTGCGCGCAGGGGTTCGGGAGGCATGCCACGGGCGGGCTGGGCGGGAAGATCTACATCGTCACGGACGGCGACGACGACGACGTGCTGGAGCCGCGGCCGGGCACGCTCCGGTGGGCCGTGATCCAGAATGAGCCCCTGTGGATCATCTTCGCCAGGCCCATGCTGATCAAGCTCAAGGAGGAGCTGTTGGTCGGCAGCAACAAGACCATCGACGGGCGCGGCGTGCAGCTGCGCATCGCCGATGGCGCGCAGGTGACCGTGCAGTATGCGCACAACGTGATCATCCACAACATCCACGTCAACGACCTCATCGTGGGCAAGGGCGGCAGGATCCGGGACTCGCCGCAGCACGCCGGGTTCCGCACCCAGTCCGACGGCGACGGCGTGAGCGTCTTCGGCTCCACCGACGTGTGGCTCGACCACCTCTCCCTCGCCACCTGCCAGGACGGCCTCATCGACGTCATCGACCAGTCCACCGGCGTCACCATCTCCAACTGCCACCTCACAAACCACAACGACGTCATGCTCTTCGGCTCCAGCGACAGCAACCCCAAGGACGAGATCATGCAGATCACCGTCGCCTTCAACCACTTCGGAAGAGGGCTCGTGCAGAGAATGCCAAGGTCATCATCATCATCTCAAGCTAAAATTAAGCTGGTTGGTTAATTTGTGCTCACTGCATTTATAAATCATTTTCTCTTGCTTATATAATTATCAGGTGCCGATGGGGATTCTTCCACGTGGTGAACAACGACTACACCCACTGGCTCATGTACGCCATCGGCGGCAGCAAGAACCCGACCATCATCAGCCAGGGGAACCGCTACATCGCGCCGCCGAACCTGGCGGCGAAGCTGATCACGAAGCGGCTGTACGCGGAGGAGTCGGAGTGGAAGAACTGGGTGTGGCACTCGGAGGGGGACCTGATGCTCAACGACGCCGTCTTCACCGACAGCGGCGGCCCCAACCAGAGGAAGTTCGAGAAGGACGACCTCATCCCGCCCAAGCCGGGATCGTACGTCACCAGGCTCACACGCTTCGCCGGCTGCTTGCCGTGCAAGCCCGGCAAGCCCTGCTAAACCTAGGTGGCCCCGCCGGCCGGCCGGAGCCGATCCCTTCCGAATCTTCAATTATTGCTTTGTTCAATTCTTTTACTCAAAGATTCGTGTATGTATTATGTATTACTAGGACATTTGAGTAGTCTACGGGGTTCAAGTCAGAGGACCCTGTAGGTTGTTCTTGTACCTGCATTCGCCGTGTCAGCAGCCAGGCGACGCAGAGGCCAGAGTGGATGACGGACAGAGACAACATGTTTCTGTCTAGGTCATCCTGCTTACTTAGGAGAGGTGGAGGGCCCGACAGAAAGCATGCACATATTGAAGAGGGCCGAGACTAATTTGTTTAACGATTGTTTTAAGGTTTATCGTCTGTTTATTTTCATTTTATTTCAACTTTCTACATGTGTGTGTTGAACATGCAATATGTTACAGAGGAGGAGGCGTCATTGACACTTGGCGTGGCCGCACCCTTGACGTGCTTGACGTGGTGACTACTCTAGCGTAGGCTTTCTGTTGAGGTTGTTAGAGATAGTTCTCATGTTTAACTATCTCTTCTTTTGATTCTCCCTGTAACCTCCCCTCTCGGTTAGGCAATCTTCACCGAGGCTTGTATCCATCGATCATCCCATCAATATATACATGCGGGCTCTCGTGTATGAGGGTTGAGACATTTTCATAACTCTTTACATGGTATACAGAGCAGGCTCTTCCATCTCATCTAGCTAGTTCTTCCTCAACTCTTCACTCAACCCTTCTTCATCATGTCCACCTCCACCGCACCCATCCAATCCAACCTCAACTACAACACCACTGAGCCACTTACTCGAACGAATTATGTCCTTTGGAAAGCCCAAGCAAGATCCCAAATAATGGGCGTCGGCTTGTACAACTACATCGACAACACCATTGAGGAGCCTCGCAAGATCATCACCACCAAAGACAAAGACGGCAAGGACCAGGTCATCCCCAACCATGCCTATGCACCCTAGTTTGTCCAGGATCAACATATTGCCGCTTATCTCTTGCGCAACCTGTCCAAGGAGGTTCTCGTCCAAGTCGCGTCCCTTGAGACGTCACATGCGATTTGGACAACCTTGGCCACCATGTTCTCCGCGGTGTCGCTGTCTCATGCCAACAATCTTCGCGCCGCGCACACGGACGCCCAGATGGGCGCCCTAATTTTTTAACGATTATTTTAAGGTTTATCGTGTGTTTATTTCCATTTTATTTCAACTTTCCACATGTCTACAGTTTTCCACGTGCGAAAAAAAACATTGTTAGAAATAAGGTTGTTATTGTTGGGCCTCGACAGCAAGATGTGATGCACAAATTCACCGACACAACACATATGCAAACAACCCTCTTCACTTTTAGTGAATTTTGAGGTTAGCTTCAACCAACTAGTAAGCAACGTTCCTTTCAGAAAGAAAAAAACTAGTAAGCAAAGTTCCATAAAAAACTAGTAAGCAACACAATAAACTCAAACAACATGCACATGTGACACTTAATTTAACGTGAAAAACCACCTCAAAAACTACTGTTGTGGCCCACACAACTTCACCATTAGGACGGTGAGTACAAAGTCATCTCTAGGACCTCTCAATGTTGCCAACCAGCAACAACAACCACCACAAGAAGCAAGATTCTAGCAAAGCAGAGTAACACAACTTCTGTCTGTTTCTGAAACTTGCAAACTACTTTTAAACCGCTAAATCAAACAACATCAAATTTGGCATGCAAACATACACACAAATTCCCGACATCCCCTAAATTTTTTTAGCTTGACCCGACATTGTTTGCTTACCCAATCTATGTACCTCCTACAACTACTTTGTGTTGAAACTACAACGATACGAACTGACAAAACCACACTCAATCAGATGCTCCACTGACCCAATCCTCAAACCAGGTAACCACATCGAGATACCTAAAGTAAGGAGCGATCCTATCAAATTTGGGGTCAATCCAAGCAAGCCTCTAACCACCAGCTTAAACATTGTCTAGTCAGTTGTGGCAAATCTGGACAGAACCTCTCTCCTCCTTCTTTCTCTCTCTCAACGTTTGTGTTCTTATTGTGTGCTCTCTTTCACACTCACAATGGAAGGCACCACCACCTGAGTGGAGTGACTAGGGTTTTCTTCTTCCCTCACTTCACTACGAATCACTAACAATAGTTGGATGCAAATGCATGTTCGACTTATGGGCTGATGTTGGATTGCTAACACGTAGCACGCCTCCATGTCTTTGTGTGCTCTCTTTCACTCTCATAACGACAACCACCACCAACTGAGTGGATTGGCTAGGATTTCTTCTTCCTTCACTTCACTATGGTGTACTCATAACTGTTGGATGCAAATCAGATCAATGGTTCACATGTGTTGGACTTGTGGATTGATGTTGGGCTGTCCACACACCTCCATGTGGAGGGACTTGGAGCAACAGTTGTTCGGCTTTAATAATGAATCCCTTAGGTAACAAACAAGAGTATCGACTAACAACTAAAATAAGGACCGATATCTACTATCGTGTTAATGGAGCTTGATTTGATGGTACGGTAATTTGGCCACTAGCAGGTAATGATAACCGCATGAGCAATATTAGGCCTTGTGCACACCGTGACATTTATCAAACTAAACCTAGGACCTAAGGCTCACGTACGAATTGTACGAATTAGACTAAATGTATTTTGACCATCATTCTTATATACTTTTTTTACAAATAAAATGTGCTTGTATTCGAATAAATTGTATACTTTTTGCTAATACCCGTAGGCAGTGCATAGTTGTTCCTTTAGAAATGATTTTTTAATCAAAAAAGTATAGTATACATAACAAAGAGACTTAGATGAATACAAGAAACATAGCTTCTTTATAAAAATAGAAGTTACACTAAGGTCATCGGAAGTCGTGGTCTCCAAGTCCTTCTCATCTCGGTTTTCCTCTAAGCCTCTAGTACCAGAAGTTGCACCAAGCAAATCCTACACAAAGTATGACTAATCTTAGGGGATCTTAAGAGACACATGAGTGGCCGACATCAATATGCAAGAACTTGAGATCATTTAACACATGACTAGGAGACACACCTTGCAAGCATGATGGTTGACCACTAAACAAATCACTGCAAAATAATATATAGAGCATGAAGAAATGGAGTCAAAGAACCACAATCACCAACGCCTCTACCAAGTTAAGGCGGAACATCGGGCGAGAAATTACCGGATTAGGGTTGATCCACCGGTACCATACACACCATTGGCTCTACGATGTACTATGAAGACTAAATCGTGACCGTGATATAAGTCATATAACTAGATGGCTTCCAAGCTTTGATCCGGAGTTCCCCTACCAACTCTTAGCACCATAAAGGTCACCAGAGGCAAGAAGAATCAGTGGAAAACATAAATTATGATATCTTCCTCTGATCCATGTTACCTAGTGTTGTGCACGCCATCCATTTATATAACCCTGGCCACATAGTCATGATTGTTTGTGAAAAAATAATCAAATTGTGCTAGTGGAATAGTTGCTATAGATACTAATGTCTCCTTTGGATTACATGTTTTCATCCTTTTTCTATTTAGGTTCACTTGGATCACATGCCCATTATTGAAAACTGTCCATATATATTGCTTCTAGTTCCATAGAATTTACTATCACTAACTTTTTTTGTTGACTTATTCATCGTGTGTTTCCTCGCATACCCGAGGTTAGCAGAATACGTGGGAAAACATAAATAATGATGTCTACCTCTCCTTGGCATCGCGGTGTTTATGCATGCCATCCACTTATAGGCCCGAACACATGGTTGTTGAAGAAAAAACAATCAAAACGCGCAATTGTGAATAGTTGCTACCAATATTAAGGTTTCATTTGGATTACAGTATTTTCGTGGGACCTCTACCTTTTATCAGACTCCTTTGGATCACGTATCACATGGTCCTTATTGATAAGCCTCCATACTTATTGCTTCTTTTTTGCATAAGTTTCAATATCACTGACTTCTTGTTCACTCATTATCTAGGATCGATGCACTTTTGCGTGTTTCCTAGTATATGTTCTTCGATAAGGTGGGGGACCCGGGATTAGGGTTTGTGGTGTTGTCTTTCCCTAGTTTTGGCTAGGACTCAGTTTAATGATTGGCGTTGGCAGAGGGCATGTGGAGCTTTAGCGAGGGCCAAATATTGCCCTTCTTTCCGCATACGTTTCATCCGACAAAGTGGATAACGATGGTTCATGTTTTGGTCTTATAGCTTCTTCCCCTCTCAGTGATGCATGACCAGCTTCGAGTTCGTCGAGAATCTAGCGAGGTAAAGTCTTCCCGTTCTGTCTTGTCGGAGCTCGGATGGTTGTCCACTCGCTTCGCCTTCTTCTTCTTTGGGGTGAGGATCTGATCTTTCGTTCATCACTATCTTCTTATGGTTTCGATGACTTTTCGGTCACTTCATTAACAATGTTACTGTTAGAAGGGATAGATAGGGATTGGTGAAATCGATATTTATTGCTTGAGCCTCGTGGGCATATATATAGGAGTACAATGACCAACTTAAAATACAAGACAAGACATGACCAAATCCTAGTCTATCCTATACTTACTAATAATCATAATACTCAACAGTTACCTCGGCAACTCCTAGGGTATTCCAAAGATCCGAAGGTGACATCAACCTATGTTCATGGCAGCACACCGTCGGCGAGTGGGGCAGGATGAGAAACGTGGATTATACCAAGGACATGTGTTGTACTCCCTCCATTCCTAAATATAAGTGTTCACTATTAGGGAAAACCTTATACACAAAACTTTAGCAGTAGCGCTTGTTAAAAAGCGCGCTACTGCTACACAACAGTAGCGCGTGCAGACTAACCGCGTTGCAGATACATATATAGCAGTAGTGCGTCCCATGGTAAAAGCGCTACTACTAAAATTCCCACCACTAAGTCGAGAGGCTACACATAGTAGTAGCGGTCTTTTAGAAACGGCGCTACCGCTAATATTGTTGTAGCAGTGCGTTTAGGTGTAAGGCACTACTGCTAACGAAAAGAAAATGAAATGGAAAACAAGTAGAAAAGTAAATTAAAATGAAATAAATAGAAAAAAGAGAAAGGAAAAAAATAAAATGTAAGCAAAAATAAATGAAAAAGGAAAAAAAAAGGAGAAATGCATAGCAGTAGCGCGTTTCTGAAAACGCGCTATAGCTAACTTAGCTATAGCGTGTTTTCAGAAACGCGCTACCGTTATGTTTCACTTAACCAGCGGTTTTCCTCCCCCGACCACCACTTCTCCCCCAAATCCCTCGCCCCACTTCACCGCCGTCTCCCCAATTCGCCGTCGCCCCACTTCGCCGTTGTCTCCTGCCGGCATGGACGCCCGCAACCTCACCGTCTCCACCCGAGGCCGCCCTCATCCTCACTGCCGTCGCGCGACGCCGCCCTCAGCCTCACCGCCACCGCCCTCGACCTCATCGCCGCCCGAGCCCGCCCTCCCCATCCCTGTCTCCTTCGTCGAACACCTCCCCGGCACCGTCTCTCCCCTCTTTGTAAGCCCCCACCACTCCTCTCTCTCTGCATTTTAGAGCAAAAATTAGTAGAGCAAAAGTTAGTTTATAGCAAAAAATTTAGTTTAGAGCAAAAGATGTTAAGTAGTAGAAGTTAGAACAAAAATTAGTTTAGAGCAAAAAAATTGGTTTACAGCAAAAGTTACTTAGGGCAGTAGGGTTTAATTAGGTTTTTTTTTTCCATAGATGTTTTTTAAATGAAGAAAATGTTGTAGCAGTGTGCTTGTAGTATATAGTGATACTAGTAGATGTTAATTAGGTTAGGGCAGTAGTGGTACTAGTAGATGTTAATTATATGTTTTTTAGTTAGGGCGGTAGGGTTTTGCTAGGTTAATTAGGTTAGTAGTGCTGCTGGTAGTAGTGGTAGAGTAGGTTAATTAGGTGAAGTTAAATGAATAACCTAAATGAATGAAATTAGTAGTTAACTGATTTTTTTTCTTTCATCATTATAGAGCACTAAAATTAACTGAATTTTGTTCTATTAGTAGTTAAATGAATTTTCTTCTACACTTAGTTTTTGAATTAGCTTGTGAAATTTGAACATGTATATTTGGACATGTGGTTGCTCGTGTATATTTGGACATGTGTTGCGGTGTCGAAGATGAATATTTGAACACTGTTTCCAAGGAATGAAGCAGAGTGGCCTATGTTTTGCCGGAATGTTGATTCATTTCTATTCTGGCAAATTTTAGGTGCTCGATTTGTCCACTTTTTAGCAAAGGTCATGCCGAAATTTTTCGTGAATTTTGGCATGAATTGTGCTACAAACTAAGACATATCGAGTGCCCGGAATTTGCCGCACCGGGAAGGAGTCAACGTTCCTGCAAAACATAGGCCTTTTTATGTCATTATTCATTATATTAGGTTTAGAATTAATTGACTAGATTTAATCATTGGAAACATGGCTAGCAACGATGAAGGGCAGGGTTCTGGTGATTGCGACGACGTCTTCCTGGCGGCAGACGAATTTTTGAGCCTTGTTGATGATCAACGGATGTTGTTGTTGGGCCCACCTGTCGCATCAGGGACTGATACCGACATGCATACCGGCGATGAGACTGAGACCGGTGCGGAGACTAGTGGAGCTGGTCTAGAACCGAAAGCAAAGAGGCCACGGCGCCCAAACCAGCTCATGACTACTAGACTGGTGGTCACGGAGATGGACGACGGCATTTTTGAGCCAATAGCGCCCGAGGAAGCGCGATCGTGCTACGACAATCAAATAGGCTGCATCGTACGGACAACTGCCACCATCAACGATGACAAACTACAGAAGATAGATAATATGAGGCCCTCCCTCCTAAAGAAGCTGCACCAGATATTCTTGTTCCCGGGCCGGAATGAAAAGGATTATAAAGATCCAGATAAGGACCCGGCAATGAAGAAGATAAACAAACACACCATGACCAATTTTAGCAACGCGTTGGCCGCCTGGAAAGCAAGGGTGAAACATCGGATTGTCAACAAAAAGGAACCCTACTCTGATATTGTAAAGGATAATCCTACAATCACGCAAGAGCACTTTGAAATATTTAAGGCGGCTTGCGAGGCCGAAGCTGCCAAAAAAGTCGAAGTACATGAAGGGGCTTCAACAGAGGAACATGGGGTGCCACCACCTCGGAAACCGTGGTTACGGTGGGAAGAGATCCATATGGGCCAAGGAGGACGCGGAACACGAAAGTCTGGGCATCCCAGACCCCTTGGCGGACTTCACCGTCCCATAGGAGCGTGACGTCCTCAGGGCACGTCACCATTGGGACCCAGTCAAGAAGGTTTTCAAGATGGACCCGATCACGACGGAGTCCATGAGACTGCTGGTAATTTTAGTTTCTGATCAATTCAACTGCATGTTTAGTCATATTTGTAGATGATCCTTGTTCCTTTTGTAGAGAGAGCAGCACAGGA